AATATTTCTTATTTTCAGATTGTAAATATTTATTTTAAGAGTTTGAAATATTTCGATTATAAGAAATATCTAATACTGAATTGTTATAATTTACGTTTTTGGTTGAATCTCTAATAAATAAAACTAATGTAGATGACAATAAATGAAAATAAAAAAATTTACTTAAAGGCTACTTATATTTATAATTTATCATTTTTTATTAAAATATTTAATCTGTTTTAGTTATGTATATACAAATTTTAAACATTGTAAAATTATTTATATGTTTTTTTGTCTTAAAAATAATTATAAAAGATGAGGGATCCCTTGGAAGGGATAAAATAATCAATTTTTTAATTAAAGAGGGGCATTCTAGTTATTAACAACATTCAAAAATTTCTAATTAGACCTCACCACTTGATTAAAAATTTGTTAAAAATGTAGGTCTGAATTTAGATACAGATATATCAGTTGAATTTATTTGGGATTCTCCATAGAATCAATGACTCTTATATGTAGAGAGATTAATAAATAAAAGATCCAGTTTCATAAATAATTTGCAAATGCATAATTATCAAGAATCTGACTTACCTGCTTGAAAATACTTTATGTATACTTTAGAGATATATATGTGCATATATATATATATATTTATAGTTTTCCTTGATGTCTCTTTCTCTCTCCCATTCTTACGATTATCAATTAGAATTAGAGCTATTAATGCGAGCCCAACTCGTCAGCCCGCCAAAAAGGGCAGGCTCGTGTTGGCAATATGCTAGCCCGCCAAGGTGCGGGCTATTCCTGCATCGTTTTGAGCTCGCTCCGCCACGGGCTAGCCCGCAGGTTGGCGGGCTGGCTCGCCTTTTTTTTTTTTTTAATTTTCATATAATTCCTAATATAGTTAAAATATTTTGACCATCAAATTCTACACAAACAATTAAACATTGCTTCTTTCATATCATTGTATAAGTAATTAAACACTTTATATATTTGTGATTCTGTGTGTAGTTACACGAAGATTATCGTCTATTTTTTATTTTTCATTTATTTGTTGCGTCACTATAAAAGCCTTTATAAAATTAAATAAACATGTAATACTTATACATTTGTACATAAAATATCTACTTAATTAATTTGGATAAGAAAACTAAATTACTTTGAATAAGAAAACTAGTTAAATTAATTATTTATAAAAAAATATTATTTTTTTAAAATATCTTCTTAAATTATAAATTAATCTTCACTTTATTTTATTGTAATTCACTATTCAAATTCAAGATTCGAAACTTAATTTTAACATTTCAAATTAAACTCAACCTATACTAATAATAATAGTTTTTATTAAAAAAAAAAATATTGAGACGACCCGCCAACCTTCCTGGCGGGCTCGGACTGGCATGCAAAAATACGGGCTAAAGCTTTAGGCCCGTACTGTCATGGGCTGGCCGGTATCCGTATCACCAATCGTATTACCACCTCTAATTAGAACCCATCGTTTCTCGGTTTCTGCAGAGTAAAACAAAACATGTACGTCGAACAATGAAGAGGAGCCGTGCACGACTTATTTCGAGAATTCCAAGAGAGAATATAATTAGTGTAACTTCATAAGTTAAACACACCCAAATTTCTTCAGGAATACAAGGACAAAACAAAAAGATTGTCAGTAAGTGATAATATAGGTTATATCCTATATGTGATCATGATGTTTCCTAAAATAGTTGTGGGGTTTGTAGGGCTGCTTTGGACGCAAACCTGCCACGCAAATTAAATACACTCGTTTGTTTATTATTATTTTTTTTTTGCGCAGGTTTTCATGTTTATACTTATAACTCGTTTTACAATACATAATTGATTTTATTTTCTGATAGTATGCTTTTTTTTGTCAGATAGAATGCTTGCTGTATATCGTTTAATAATTGTATTGGGATGAGGGATTTAAAAGGAAAAAAAAGAAGAATTAAGAGTATTTTTGAAAAAAAAAAAAGGTATGCTTTTGATATCCTTGTTTAACTTTAACTAACCTTTTTAATCTGCATGAAGCCGTTTTATATAAATAGAAACGTTATAGTTTTATAGGTACACTCCCACATGTCAGAAATCAAATTTAATTTCTTTACCAAACAATAATGAACAATTAAAAAGGTGTTTGACAACCCTTAAAAGTGCTTCTCAAGACAAACTCCTCTACATATTTACTTTATAAACCATAAAAGTACTTTTAAAATCATAGTTTGGTTTCTATCTGAACACCCTCTAAATAAGTTATAATTGGGGATCGGACTTTTATAGTTAACTAAGTATTTACGAAAAAGGAAATGGAACTTTTGTTGGTTAGAACGAAAAGGGGACAAAACCATGAAGAGATGAAGAGAATATTTCATGGAGGGCCATTGTAATCATATTGAAAACAGTATGCGGCCCTAACCAAACAGGCTCTTAAACATGTAGAAAGAAAACAAGTTCAATTGTATATCTTTGGATGTAACTAATAATTAACAATCATACATTGATGGGGATAGGATGTAGAGTAATTATAATAATAATTATTATTATAATTATAATAATAAAATATGCGTCATGGAATATAATATTCATATGTTCGGTTTTCCATATGCACAATATATGTATTGAGCCTTCTTAGTCCGGCCATATACATTTCAATAGAACTATTTATATACTCTCTCCAATCCTTATTATAACATTCAAATAACTAATTCGCGGGTAACAAACAATTAGTTAAAAGAATAAATAAGTTAGAAATATGTTTTTATTTTTAAATATGCCTTTAAAATAAATAAGAAAAAAGATGAAAGTGAATAAGTGGGAAAATGTGATAAGAGAGATTATGACAAAAAAGAGATAATAAATAAATAAGAGAAAAATTGGAAAAATGCATTAAATATTAAGATAAATTCAAATTAAAAATTATAAAATAGATCATACCCCTTCTTAAATTTGAAGTTTATATTCATGAACAGTGATAAGGAAGCGGTGTTTTATAGCACAGAATTATCAAACGTGGGTCCTTTTTTCCCCCAGAAAAAGGGGAAATGTCTATTCTTTTTTCCATTTAATCCAAACGAAGTTTAATTTATTAATAAGTTTTTCTATAATTTATATCATCCAAAATTTTCACCAATATGACCTTATAATTAAGGAGGGAATAAATATATGTTGGTGTGTTAGAACTTTTTGTGGTAATCATGCATTCACAACAAGCTAAGTGCATAGACGTGGGTGCACCCCTATATCTAAAGAGAGATTTATATATATATATATATATATATATATATGTCAGTGATTTTGAGGGATCTATTAAATAAACTAGAATACACACACATATACAGACATATAACTATATATATATATATCTATAAATAGAGTAAATCCTGAAATATAATGTAAGTCTGTCCGTGAGAGTATAAATGAGATCAAGTAGTCTCGTTCGTATTTTTATCTATTTATCATTTTATTTGCAAATGCGTAATAAAAACATCTAACTTAACTGATTAAAAATATAGTTTATTTCTGGCTCAAATCTTGATTATTACTAGCCGGTTGTTCAAGTTTATTCCCATCGACGTTGTGTAGAACGTTTTGTCCTCTGCCTTTCATAAAATTATTTATACTTCTGCTCTCTCTCTCTCTCTCTCTCTCTCTCTCTCTCTATAACTTCTTTAGAAATGTTTTGTCCTCTTTACGTGAACTCCAATAATTGTGAGATTGCTTCATTAAGAGTTGAAACGAAAACACTTTGACCAACCAAACCCACTAAGTACTCCTCTAGTCGTATTTATAAGATGAAAAAAGAATATATTTTTTATCTTATTTATAGGGCACTGAGAGAATTTTTTTGTATAAATATACAATTTTATATTAAATTATTATTATGTTGATTTTTTTACATGATGTGTAATGTATATTAAATAGGAATAAAGTTAAAAAGTGTCAAATTTTAAATAAGAGTTAATAAAGTTTAAAATTTTGCTTGATTTGTGTGAAACATGTTGAAAGTAACTTATAAATAGGACTAGAGAAGTATATTGTTTTGGAGGGCTGCTTGCGACGCAGCTATTCGATCGGATACATTAATTTTTTTGCATCTTGTATTGATCGGAATAATCAATGTCCCGTGCATACCAATGTGCAGATTCATACATGAAAGTATGTTTTGTAAGATCTTATGTTTCAATATATAAAGCACTTCATAAAGCTTTAAGAGCAATTAATAACTTTTTACTTAAAATGCTCTTAGGAGTATATCACATTACTTACCTCCTGCCTAACAAATCATCAATGATTGATATTTGATAGAATTATTTTTTCATATTATCCTTAAGAAAATTAATTAGAATGTTCATTTATTAATAAGAGAATATTTATCTCTTATTTAATAAGAGCATGTTATAAATCTCATATCGAAGAGTCTCACAACTCACAAGTGTGATGTGATTTGTAATACAGGTTTTGTTTTTTTTTTTAAGGATGGGACTCTTTATTTAAATTTGTGTTCATAATAAAGGTGCTTTCATTAAGAGCTCAATGTTCACAAAGAAGGATATCTATAGAAGGTTTTAACTATCACGAAATGGAATGAAGTGTTGTGATATGAAACTATTAAGGATGTCAACTTTCAAATGTGGGGTGTACTGTTATAAGTTTCACATCTGGGAGCCGCATAAGTGTGGTGTCACTTATAAATTTAAGGAGCTTCATTTGAATAGGCTAATCTTTTGAGATTGTTGTTTAAGCTTCTTTTTATAAGAGCATAAGTGAAAAATTGTATTAAATGCTTTTATAATAGTAAGTGATGGGATTAATAAATTAGAACATTTTTTGGGCGAAAGGAAAAGAATATGTTAATAAAATAACATTACATTTTGTTAAAATTCTAAGCCATTTATTAATATATTAATGCGTGTGCTAATTAAAAGGTGAAAATGACAACTATTTTCGAAGTAAGGGAGTACAACTCATTCCATAACAAGGATCATACTATAATATAAGTTCAAATATTATGAAGACAAAACGTATAATAAGTGATGTTGTTTGTAAAGATGTGTAACAATGTAATTAAAATATGCAATCTACGTCCTAAATCTTCTATAAAAGGAGGACTAATCATCCCTCTCTCACAGCACAACTACGTAGATTGGCAGTTGCAAATCATCAAGTGAAATGGCCCCCAACATGAACTCAGTGCTTGTCGTGTTGGCCATCGCAAGCCTTGTTTCAGTGGCATCTGCCATTTCTGGAACTGCCACATTTTACACCAAATTAACTCGTGAGTTTCCATCTTTGACTATATATCTATCAAACAACATTATTAACACAGATAACAACACAAGAGTTTAACTATGTTATTATATTGGCGTGATTAATTGATTAATTATTATATTGTAGCTTCTGCATGCTTTGAGGGCCGAAACGAGGGCACGATGGTGGCAGCGGCGAGCAAGTCGATCTGGGAGAATGGAGCTGCATGTGGAAGAAGGTACAGAGTCCGATGCACCGGCGGTACCACCGGCGGTGTGGCTCACCCTTGCCGGGGTGGAAGCGTTACCGTCAAGATTGTGGATCTCTGCTTAGACTGCCAAGGAACCATCGATCTCTCTCGTCAAGCTTTCTCTCACATCGCTAACCCTGTCGAAGGAAAAATCCGCATTGACTTCACCCAGTAATTTGAATCCTCTCTTCCTAATTTTCAACTCAATTACTTCATCTACTTTACTCACTATTTCTTTGCTATATTTTCAGGGTATGAAGCTTCAGGGAGAGAATTATATATCTAACTGTATATCCAGGAGGATGTGGATTTAATGGTGAATAAAACGTACAAGATCACAGATTATTATATACGGATATCCTGGAAAATAGGGTTCATTTTAATTTCCATGAATTATGCGTATGTGTCCAGTGTTTCAGTGCCTGTTAAGTTTTAATTAATAAAATATTTTGAGTTTTTGCAATGACTAAAGAAACGATGGATAATGACAAATATATATGAGAAAGCTGTATTGATTTTATAGATATTCCTCAACGGCCATATGATCCGATAGTACAAAATCAATGAGGAAATAGTACAAGCTTTCAGGAAATACGAAAAGAAATGTCATAGTTTGCAGAAAGGAAATAAGGAAAGATTCCTCCAGGGAGAGAGAGAGAGTCTTCAATAAATATTCCACACCAATCCTTACACTCCCTCGTCCTATTATAGTCATGCGTCATTCTCCAATTCGCGAAGCTTCCAGCTTTTCTTCTTAATCCTCAAGCTTCTCCGGACTGGTTCATTTTGGGCCAGCTTCTCTTGCAACTTTGGGCCTGGGTTCGTTACATCACCCCCTCCATTGAAATGAACCTTGTCCTCAAGGTTCAAGGTTGGATACAGCTGTTGCAAGTCTTGCTCGAATTCCCAAGTGTGTTCAGACGTTCCGTCCCATTGGACCTGAAATTGTCGCATCCACTGCCCATTCTGCTGTACCCAGCGTGCCCCATTAATTCCCACTGGTTGACTAATTGGCCCTTCTGGTACTGTTAACAGGGGTAATGGCAAGTGAGTGGCCGTATCATCGCCGTGAAATTTTTTCAACATAGAGACATGAAACACCGGATGAATCCTTGCATAATCAGGAAGCTGGACTTTGTAAGCAACAGACCCAATACGCTCAACAATGGGAAAAGGGCCAAAATAATGCATAGCTAGTTTCTGAAATTTCCGCAGTTGCACGGAGTGTTGTCTGTAAGGTTGCAATTTTATCAGAACCAAATCTCCCACCTGAAACTCCACTTCTGTTCTTTTCTTATCTGCGTAAAGCTTCATACGCTGTTGAGCCTTTTTGATGTTGGATTTCAAGATGTCTAACACCTCGTCCCTCTGCTCTAATTGCTGATGAATATCGAGAGGTGTATCCTCTGCTGAACTATGTCGTAACAGGGGAGGGGGATCCCTGCCATAAACGACCTTGAAGGGAACCATTCCAATTGAGGAATGAAACGAAGTGTTGTACCAAAATTCTGCCCAGGGTAAATAATTAAGCCATTTTCTGGGAAAATCAGACACAAAGCATCTCAGATACATTTCAACACATTTATTTAGGGCCTCTGATTGCCCATCCGACTGGGGGTGGTATGCAGAACTGAAACATAGTTGTACACCTTGTAACTTCATCAAATGCTTCCAGAAAGCACTAGTGAAGGTCCGATCTCTATCTGATACAATTGTTCTTGGCAGCCCATGCAGTTTAATAATATTGTGCAAAAAAGCTTCAGCAACTATTTGACTGGAAAAATGGCTCGGTAGAGGAATGAAATGGGCATACTTAGACAATCTATCAACCACTACCATAATAACTGAATAGCCTTTCACAATTGGAAGCCCCACTATAAAATCCATAGCAACATTTCCCAAATCCGTTCAGGAACAGACAACGGTTGAAGCAATCCTGAAGGGTGTAGTTGTGACAGTTTTGCCCGCTGACATACAGCACAATTCCGAATGTAATTTCTAATATCCTTCCGCATCTTGGCCCAAAAATAAAGTCTGGCAATTCTGTGAAAAGTGCGAAGGAATCCTGCATGCCCTCCTGTTATAGAGGAATGAAACTCATCTAAAATCATCTTCAGCAATTGTGCATCATCGTGTGGGATTACCAGGCGATGTTTCCAGTATAAATCTTGATCACAAAGATGGAAGTGTTTCATCGAGCTCGGATCTTTTTCTAATTTTTCCTTCAATTGTAAAATCAAAGAAGAAGTTCGTACCCTGGTGTATATGTGATCCATGAAAGTATTCTCCACCGTAGTTAGCGCCATACAAGATACTCTAGACAAGGCATCGGCCACCTGATTCGTTTGCCTGGTTTGTATTCAATATCAAATTTGTAGCCCAACAGTTTGGGTAGACAGGCTACCTGCTCTGGTGTCTGGATGGTCTGGTCATTAAGGTGCTTTAAGCTGTCATGATCCGTCCGTATGATAAAATGGTGCCCCAATAAATAATGACGGAATCGAGAGACTGCTTCTGTGATTGCGTATAATTCTCGAACATACACTGATTGTGTCTGCATCCGAGGAGATAATTTCTTGGAGAAAAAAGCAATTGGGTGTTGATCTTGACTCAATACTGCTCCGATTCCCACACTAGAAGCATCTGTCTCCAGTACAAAAGATTTCTGAAAATTTGGCAGCGCTAAGACAGGAGCCGTAGTGAGTGCTTGTTTCAGGGCTCCAAAGGCTTCTTGGGCTTGGGGGCTCCAATTAAATGAATCCTTCTTTAATAATTCAGTGAGTGGCCCAGCAATCGTGGCGTACTTGTTGATGAACTTTCGGTAGTATCCGCTGAGGCCCAGGAACCCCTTTAACTGAGTGACATTTATAGGTATGGGCCATTCTTGAATTGCTCGAATCTTCATCGGATCCATTTCCACTCCTTTAGCTGACACTACATGCCCCAAATACTCAATCTTTGTTTTACCGAATGCGCACTTGGACCTTTTTGCATATAGCCGGTGTTCAACCAACACTTTCATCACCAATTCCAAGTGTCGTAGATGTAATTCCCAAGTGGCACTATATATTAAAATGTCATCAAAGAATATTAAAACAAATTTCCTCAAAAAGGGTTGGAACACTGAATTCATCAGAGCCTGGAAAGTTGCTGGCGCATTTGTTAATCCGAATGGCATTACAAGCCACTCATATAATCCTTGATGAGTACGAAATGCCGTCTTCTCTCTGTCCACTTCTCGCATTAGAATCTGATGATACCCAGACCTAAGGTCAAGCTTAGAATAGTAAGTGGACCCATATAGTTCATCTATTAATTCATCAACCGTGGGCATAGGAAAAGCATCCTTGACTGTGACAGTATTTAACGCCCTATAATCTATACAAAACCTCCATGTTCCATCCTTCTTTTTCACCAATATCACAGGGGCGGAGAATGGGCTATTGCTAGGTCGAATTAAACCTTCCCGTAATAATTCTTGAACCATGTTTTCAATCTCTGTTTTCTGACTTACTGGGTACCGGTATGGTTTCACTTTTACTGGCCCCGTTCCTGGTTTCAGTTCAATTCGGTGCTCATGATCACGACTCGGTGGTAACCCATGCGATTGCTCAAAAACCTCTCCATATCGTTGAAGGATCTGAGCAATGTCCGCCGCTACTTCTTCTTCTGCCAATGTTTCTGGTATGGGGGTTGCGTTCATAATATATATCTCTGCCACAGCGTCAGTTTGGCATAGCCGAACAAGATGATGAAAATTGGCTTGGGTCATAGAAGGTCCCCTGTATCCTCTCAACGTTACAAATTGTCCATCTTGAAGGAACCTTATAGTAGAAGTACTGTAATCTGCCACATGAGCCCCTAACGTCTCCAACCAGTCTGCCCCCATTACTAAATCTACCCCTGCTATGGGCAACACAAACAGAGTCAGTTCAAGGGTGTGGTCACTTATCTGTATGGGCACATTCATGACTCGCTCATTGCTTCTTAAGATCTGCCCCGTTCCCCCTAATACTCGCAACTCTGTGGTATATTCTACCGGCAATCCCAGGTGCTCCACTATACGAGGGTGTATAAAGTTATCAGAACTCCCACCATCCAATAATATTTGTACATCAGTTCCATTGATACGGCCATTGAAACGTATTGTGGCGGGGCCCTGAGTTCCTCTTAGAGCGTGTAGTGATAAGTGGTGTAGTGTCACTTCCACCACGGTTTCTTCTTCGTTCTGTATCTCTTCATCCCTCTGAGGGTCATCATCACATATCATCATCATCATCTGACGGTTGGGGCATCTATGGTTGGGAGAAAACTTGGCATCGCAAGTGTAGCATAGACCCTTCTCTCTGTGAACATGTACCTCGGCGGGTGTCAACTTCTTAATTTGAGGAGTATTAGGTGTAGGTAACAGTGGAGGTAGATTAGCTTTTCCTCCTCCCATGGCGGTATGACTGGCACTACTGTTCTTTGACACCATCGTGTTACTAGCTCTGTTAAGGGCGAGCCCACTCGTGCCTGAGCCTCCTCTTTCCTTTGCAACATTTACCCCATATGCTGAGTTCTCATAATAGAGACGAGCTAGCGCCATTGCGGATCGGACTGATGTGGGACGTTGAACCAGCACATCCCGCCTTAACTCCATTTTCAGTCCTCCTACGTAACAGTCCAATAATGCCGACTCTGGTACACCCTCTGTACGGTTAGATAGTGCCATGAACTTGGTGTTATATTCATCCAAGCTGTTCTGCATGGTCAGCTTAAATAGTTGCGCCCGAGCACATTCAAACCTTGAAGGTCCATATTGATCTTCCACGGCCCTTGCGAGCGAGTCCCAGTCGGTAACTTGGTGTGTCTTCTCCAAAACTTGGAACCATGGCAGTACGTTCCCTTCAAAGTGAACTGACACTATTATGAGACGTTGTGGGTCTTTGATCTCATAGTATTTAAAATACCGCTCAGCCTTAAAAATCCAGTCTAATGCGTCCGTGCCATCAAACCTGGGGAACTCTATCTTAATCTGCTTCCCCATCGTATGAGTAACGGCCTGGCTCACTGGCTCCTCTTCTGGTACCGAGGGTTCTTTCGAGCTTGAAGATGAGTGTTCTACCTTCTGGTGGATGCTGTCCATGGACTTGACTAGCATTTCCAAAAGGCCTTCGATCTTACTGAATCGACCAGCCGCCTCCTCAATAAATTCGTTCGCCTTCTTCATATCAGCCTGTAGTTCTTTGAGTCGTGTGTTTTCCGCCATTGAACTCTCAACGAAAGCACCAGAATGCAATGACTAAAGAAACGATGGATAATGACAAATATATATGAGAAAGCTGTATTGATTTTATAGATATTCCTCAACGGCCATATGATCCGATAGTACAAAATCAATGAGGAAATAGTACAAGCTTTCAGGAAATACGAAAAGAAATGTCAGAGTTTGCAGAAAGGAAATAAGGAAAGATTCCTCCAGGGAGAGAGAGAGAGTCTTCAATAAAATATTCCACACCAATCCTTACACTCCCTCGTCCTATTATAGTCATGCGTCATTCTCCAATTCGCGAAGCTTCCAGCTTTTCTTCTTAATCCTCAAGCTTCTCCGGACTGGTTCATTTTGGGCCAGCTTCTCTTGCAACTTTGGGCCTGGGTTCGTTACAGTTTTATATAACCCTCTCCCACGTATGAGTATTTATTAATTAGAAGGTCCCTCGACTCAAGCTAATCAAATTTAATTTCTCTCTCTTGCTCAATACATATGTACAAAACAATAATGAACGATACTGAAAAGGGGAAGAAGCAAGTTACAATTAATTTTCAATACAGGACTGTTCAACTTTCGATGAACACGATCGATTAAAGAAATAAGCAAGGACCAACATTCTTCTTTTTCTTTTTCTTTTTTTTTTGGGCTAAAACATAGATATCCTCCTATCAGAAGCAATCCTATTCGAGGTACTGTCAGACACTAAATGTGGACACCTCTTCCAGTAGCGATTCGAATCTTGATTCGCTACATTATGAAAGACTAGTACTTTTTATTAGACCCAATCCTCATTGGTATATTTTTCTATTTTGAGTTAACCAGTCTTAATTTCTCCAAGCTATGCGGCATTAAGGGCCAACCCAATTTTGGGCCCAGTTTGTCCACAAAATTGTCCCATTATCTTTATTTTATTTTCAATATTGAACTTAACCCATCCTGCTGGACATTCCTAAACTACGGGTAACTTTGTATTCCATCAGTTGGCATAACTCACTAACAAGAGAGAGCTAGATTTAATTAAAAAAACTAATTTCTTGCAACGTAGTAAACTAAAGTTTGAATATCTGCTAAAAAAGATATTTACATTTAGTAAGAAATTAGTGTGACCCCACCCTTTGATCTCCGAAAGTGTCTTTTTTTTTTTCCCCATGAAAGTTCAATTTTAATTAAGGGCAATTGTAAACTTTAAATTTAAGCAAGCCTAAGAGTGACTTGGCGTGTTATGAATGTATGGATATGGTATCAAAGCTGACTCATTTTTAAATGGATTCAATTTTTGCAACTTAAACCCATATTAATGGGCAACTTAAGTGGACCACCTCGTTGTGTTGGACCACTTTAGGCCTCTTATGTAATGGCCCCATCTTCTGAAACTTTTACTTTTAATCATTAATGGTATCTTGCAGTCGTAAAACTGCAGCAGTGCAATGGTACAAAATACCAATTTTTTTTCTCGATATCATAAAATTATGCGTTTTCTTTTTGTGAAAAATTCTAAAAACCACGGAATTGCAGTAATTCTAAAATATTTCACTTTTTGAGTTTTGGTGTATAAAGTATAAACTAATGATCAAAGAGAATTGAAAAAAAAAAAATCAAAAAGCGAAGTATTACAAGGAGCATTAGAATATTATATGACCCTCAAACCCAATATTCTGAACTCGAAAAATATAAATAAATTAAATTTTACACAAAGGCACATCCATGCAACATGCAGAGATATTGCTACTTTATGTTGTTATCTAATTTTTCATTTAGTATGTAAAAATTATTACGTATTTTATTTTGCATCCAAAATAAGTCATTGAGAAACGAGAAGCTTTCAATCCCCAGTTCCATTTTAATTTGACCAAAGAAATTGCTTGTTCTCCATCAATTGTTCATCCGTCTCTGAAATCCGATTTAGCATCATAAGCTCCCTCTTTTCTTTGTTTGTTTATTTGCTGTTTTTTTCCTTCTCAATTTGTGATTATTTTTTTTTTGGTCTCTTCTTGTGCTGTAATTTCCCCCTTTTAAAAAAAAATAAAAAAAGAAAAAGAAAAGCCAAACAGCGGTGAACACGGGTCTTCAAGAACAGATAAAACGTAGCCAAAGTGGGAAGCAAGTCATATGGAGTCTCTAATCATTCCTTATTCAACTCTTACCTTAAAAGGCAGTCCTCCTTCCCCTGTTTCCACGTTCCTTGTTGCTTGCCGTGTTGACTCCTTTTTCCAATCCCATCAGCGACTGTTAAATCCCAAGCTTTCTCATTTCCACCATAGCTTTTCCCATTAAGAAATCATCTCGCCATTGATTCTACAACTCCCAATCCCAACATTTTCTACTAAACTCACAAAACTTGACCCATCTGTCACATGCCAAACGGTTGATAGGTCAATCGTGGGATTGTCTCGTGGCGTTTGGCCCTTGGCCTCTCCTCAAATCTTTGAACCATTCAGTCATTCATTCATTAACTTTGGTGTTATTTAAAGAGTAGGGCAGAGGAAGAGGTGGGGTTAGGTGGCTGGCCTTGGTACCATTTATTGTTAACTCCACCGATCTTTTTAAGCTCTTGAAAATGGCTTCTATTAAATGCCTTGCCCTTCCCTTCCCTTCCCTGTTTCTCTTCTGCCACAAGGGACGGCCAGTCATCATGATGCAGGTGCACTGTCACAACTTCACACTCATTTGAATTTGAATTCGATTTGGATTTCTCTTGTCAATCTTTATTATCCAGGCCCCAGATGACACAGACGTGTTATTTATTACTACCTTCCCTCCAACCTCTTTTTCTCATTAACCTTCTCCTCTGCTTCACCAGAACCACTAATTACTCCTTCTAATAAATTCCTCCATTTTCTTCTTGTCGATTTTATTCACGAAAATAAAGAAGATAACTCCAAGTTTATTTTTCAATTTGTACAGGTTTATGTTTTTTTCTATACAGACAAAATTTTGTTTCATTTGGTTGGTTTTTCCCTTTTTTAGAAGGTGATTGAGTGCAACTCGTAATTAACACAATATATTTTAATGATTAACTTCATCGTTTACATAACAGTGCAGTTAAAAACGTTTGAAAAAAAAAATCCATTTTTTTGCTAAGTTTTTGTTAGATTTCTTCCACACCTAAATATTTGATTGTCCGCACTGAAATATTTTCTGTCTCTAAAGGTATATCTAATTACATGAACAGAACTGCAGCAAAACATAACCAGACGAAACCGCAGAAATACTTTTAAGGTTGACCGCGAAAACAGCCAGATTCTCAGAGATGACAACAAAAGAATGTCTCTTGAATTATTTTTTTCCCCTCCAAGTAAGAAACTTAGGTTAGATATTCTTTGTACTGAGCATAGACAACGTGATATGAAAAACCAAATGCAGCATTCACTATTCAGATTCAAGATCGATCATAATTTGTGTGGAAAACATATATTGCATATCCGACACTTGAACTAACACATCTAGATTCAAGAATCAAAGATTTGCCGAAACAATGAATGACAGAAACTAGAAGTTTGAATCAGAAGATGAATGAACAACCTTGTTCTGTTTTCCAGTAAGCCAAAGCAGAGTCCTTCGAGCAAAAGAGGGTGCTCTGCCCTGAGAATCCACACTGTAACAGCTCTGGTTTTCATCATCATTTTCCCACTTCCCAAACTCCATCTCAGATTTCCCATTCTTTGCCTTCGAATCATCCCTCGCAACCTCGTTACTCTGTGCAGAGAATCGAAACGAAACAGCCCTCCTTGAGGAATCAGCCATGGCTTGCGGCTTCTCTGCCTTTCCCCGAAGCCAAATCTTTGAAACCGAAAAGCTCTCTTTTCTGCTTCTCTCGATACTTGCAGTTTCAGAAGAAGTCTCAACACCTTTTACTGCGTCAAAACCCGTGAATTGGAAATCTCTCGTGGACTCACAGTCGCACTCTGACATGGCAATCCTTCGTCCTGGCGTTAAAGGTAAAGCACGTTTCTTACTTGACTGCTTCTTCATCGTCGCTCTTACTGGTACTTGGAGTGAAGAATTCTCGTCCATAACATAAGCAAATGACCCCATAGAAAGACACCTTCGAGCTTCTCCCATGTCTGTACTGCTTCCTTCACCAACACTGTCCACATTCCTGAACTTTCCCAGCTTCACAGTGACCACTTTCTCATGTGATTCCCCAACTGCAATCTGATCAGGATTAGCTTCTGAACTCAAATCAAAAGATTTGTGTGACAAATCCACATGGGTCAAGCCAAGTTCGTTATCTCCAACCACAGAACTGGTCCTACCAACTGTACTCTCTCTTTCTGGGACAATCTCTCTGGAACTGTCACTCCCAGATTCTAGAACGAACACGAAAGGAGGAGAAGAAGCGTTTATGGGAGAGAAATCAGAGAGCAAGCAAGCTCTACAGAGAGGGCAAGTTGAGTGAGACAAGAGCCAAGTATCAATACACTCCATGTGAAAGGCGTGGCTGCATTTGGGTAACAATCTGAGCTTATCGTCAGCGTCAAATTCACACAAGCACACAGCACAATCAAATGGGTCTTTCAATCCAATGATGGCTTTGTAATGGAACACAGGGAGGGTGTTATCTATGAAGGACTGGTCAACACCAGCATCATGAAGGTGAAAAAGCTGCTGTAGTTGACCTTGAAGAGCAGACACATTATCCAAATCATCTGGGTCTCTGGATTGAGGTCTCCACAGGAATCTAACTAGGAGGTGAATCAACCCAGAAACGAAGAAAACAATGGCCAGAATTATGATGACAAGTAGCATGCTAGGACTCACCTTGTCGTTTAAATTCAAGAGACCACTACCAGATCCAAAATTAGGCGGTGAAGAAGATGGAAGGCGTGGCTGAGAAAGATAGAACGGTGGTGGTTGCTCCAAAGGAGGCTCAAAGCCTTCGCTTTTAACTTGTAGTAGAGTCCTACGTCTCCCCATTTTTGCAGAATTTAGAGAAGATTCATGCAGTTCGAAGATGCCGTTCCATCACAGAGAAGACGAGAGTGGATGGAGACATAACAACTGAGACTCAGTCTTCTTCCCAGCGCAGCACATTTATAAAGCGGCCTTTTTATGGAGACAATGGCGTAATACTACTTTAATTTCCCTGTAATCTGATAATGAAAGTCAGAGAGAGAGAGATGAACTAGCCAAAGAAAACTCTGACGTGAAGCTCGTGAATCAAATAAATCCATGACAGTGAAAAAACTAAATGACATAGCAGAATCCAACCTTTATTGTAATTCTGAAAACTCCAACCAAGCCGCTTATTAATTAGCTGGAAAAAAAGCCAGTAATAGCAGTGATGCTTCCAAAAGCTGACAAAATAGTGAAACCATCCGTGGAATTAAGACGTTGTATTTACGAAGAATTCATAAAACGCAGTTTTTGGTTGACTTGGGAGAGAACTCTGCATCAACCCCAAGGCCTAATTAATGCAACTATGCTTAAAATAATGCCCGGCGGACTGTAAGTTTGCGATTTGGCAGATACATATCCAAAAAAATATGGCGTATTTGGTTGGATTTGGAATTTTGAGCCTGCTGCTAATCTTTCCGTTTCCCCATAAATAAAGTTTCTTTTGAATCTGATCACATTCTGTTAACCCCTTCTATTCCATATTTCCATTCCCAATCTGAAGCCCTGTCCCAGAGGTCACTTGAATAAGACAAGAAAACGATGGTGTTGGAGGGGAAGACTATTCCATGCTTTCTAATAATATACTACTCCCTCCGTTCCTTATTATAAGAGACATTTGATGCTTATGGCATATTCCTATATATAAGAGACACTTAAAAGTTGTCTCTATTTTTTTGTAATGATTTCCTATTTTACCCCTATTTATTTTGTCTCCAACTCATACTCTCTCTCCCTCCCACTTCTCTTTCTTTTAATAATTTAATTGTTCTCTCATACTCTCTCTCCTTATTAATGGGGGCATTTTGGAAAAAAATTATACTTTTTACATTTAATTGTCCTCAACTAATTTTAACTGTTTTTTTGATCAACGTAATTTAGTTATTTGTCTCTTATAATAAGGAACGGAGGGAGTAGTATTATTTATTTATTAATGTGTCTACGACTTTATTAACAGAAAATAATCCTTTTAAATGTATTTTATGCAGCATGTATTTCTAAAATGTAAAGATAATACTAATTTATTAGAAAAAAGAGAAGCACAGGATGCCGATGCATGTAAAAGAGTACCCTTAGTTAAATTTATATAATGATATCTCTATTAACTTGAAGAAAAATTGCCCCCATATTGTGAAAGGATATAGGAGCAGTACTTTATAAAAGAAAATGACAAGGTTATAAGAATACTAATACTTTGGGCCAAAAATTAAAAAGGAATATTAAAACTATGATTGAGACAATCAACCTATATATATTTTAAGCAAGTTAGTACTTGCTAGTTGCTACAAAACTTAGAAGTGAATGCACTTTAATCATGATAGCAATATACCTAAACCCTGACAGTAACATTCTTGAACTCTTAGATAACGTTTTCAAAAAGTACTAATAATTTCTTACAACCTATGATAGTATTGTACTGTTGTGATGGGGCAAATTTAAGCGGCCAAATTTTTCCCATTGTTCCTTTTTGGTTCTGTGGGCATTGGAAATAGTTACTCCTTCGTTTCTTTTGCTGTCATTTATGATGCAATGACCTGCCTCAAATCCAAATTAGTGAGACTCTCAGCATTCCTTTGGGATTCCGGGTAATTAATTTGTTACCTGAAAATCAAAACAAAGATGAAGAAAGAGCATGGAAAAAGGGGTGAAAAAAAAAAGGAAAAAAGGGAAAATGAAAACAAAAGGTGTTGGACTCAAAGCCCAAGATAAAATCTTCTTTTCAACTTTTTTCTTTATGGTTGGGGAACTCTTCCTTTTAACCTTTCTCTCCAGATAGTGGGATTCGGGTACTGACTTTGCATGATGCTGCATAAAGCGACTTCATAATTTCAAACAGCAGGCACCCAACCAACTGGGGAGAGAAATAAAAAGACTTTTCCTTCTCATGTTCCTTCGATGAGACCACTTCGTACTTTGTTTCTGCACTCTCGAAAATCCATCACACCACGCGTAACAAACGGAATATAATCCAAACACCAAAAAAAAAAAAGTCATAATGAAGAGTTAAAGACGATGACAAAGAGTGCTTGTATTCCCACGTATTCATCCCCTTTTCCATATTCTTTTCGTGCCAAAACATCCAAAATATAACAGCAACGACTCTCCAGTCTCCATAAATATACATATATTACTTTTCATTATTATTCTCCCCACTGTGTAACAATGCTGAACAGTAAAGACAGCACTCATTTACAGAAGATTTTTGTCTGAGAGACATAAACATTGTATATTTCTCTTATCCGAGAGTAATATACCGATAGGATTATAGTACGGCTGATAAATCTGTGTGTGTATCGAAGTCTGAACTACCGTGAGGCATTGTGGGGGTGGTTGTCTACTTGTCTGGGGCTTCCAGAGAGGTGATCGATATTCGATTCGCGAATGTTTGTCAAAGTGAAGCGAGAATCTCCATGTGTGGTTGAGAGGCTGAAGCAGATTAATTAACGAAGCTTCTTTTGATGGGTTTTGAGACAACTTCAGTATTGGGAAGAGGATTATGCTGGGGATGATTAGTCCCTTGGTGGCTTCGATTTGATCAATGTTAATGGCTGACGGGAAACCCCATATGGTCCCAAAAAGATCCCTCCTACCTGGAGATGAGTTTAGTGATCGATAAGTGTTTGTACATTTTATTATTTTGTTAATTACCCCCTCGTCCGGTTCCCTTACCAAAACTAACAGGATTTTATATTTAGAAGTAGAGAGAGTGTACCGGATAATAAGGGACATAACTACTTAGGTGAGAACATTGCAAATGGAGCAGAAAAGATAATAGATGGAGGGAGGCATCTAGGAAAGTGAGATTCAAAAAGAGGGTTCTTATACAATGATGCTCTTCCCCGCTTTTTGTGTGTATTAGCCTGTAAAGGCTAACATAAAGTAAACCCTATCTGTATAAAGTCTTCAATGTGATGTTCATATCGGTTGCCACCTGAATTAATTCTGCACAATTGGATAACTTACCCCAATATGCTATTTTGGATCTCTTATTATTTTTCATATATATGCACCTTTGAATAATCACAAAATACTTAAAGATACTAGATAAATTACAACCCTTGTTTCTTTTAGTCTTTATTTTGAAGATTAACGCATCAATTCTTAAAAATTTAAAGAGCATTTCTACTTAAAATCTTTAAAAAAAGTTCGATTCAATAATAATATATATCATCTAGAATAGAGATTCCCTTAAAATCGTGAACATTGAGAAACTGAGATTATATGTGTCTACAATGGGAACTAAACTGTATTAAAGTATTATACTTGAACAACTCGGATGATTTTTTTCCCCCCCTAACTAGAGAGAAAACGCTCTCTGGAGATGGGAAATAGGCCGACGCATAATGGGAACTAAATTGTAGTGAAGTATTAACTTGAAAAGCTCGGATGAACTTTTTTTAAGGAAAAAAAAAGTAAAATATACTGGGTTAAGATATAATTTTAATAATAAAATATTGCGTCAAGAGCATCTGATCAGTTTTGAAGGATGCAAAACTAGATACAAACTGATGTGGACCCAATAAGAATGTTTTAGAAAATTCTAAAATTACAAATTGAGCAATAAGTTACAGAAGTAATTATGAAATAAAATAAAGAGAATAAAGATTGAAAAACAATTAAAACACTAAGAACACAGTGAACACGGGTTCCAAAAAACACTGACTATGTGAAACCCAGCACCTAAAGGAAATAATGGCTCAAAAACTTTAAGTATAAGCAACACAAGAGTTTATTAATCTTTTATGTCAGGTAGTATCCTCACAAGTCACAACCATACTGAATAATACTTTATTGAACTCTGATCTGAAAAGAAAGGTACAATACTTGACTTTAAATAGAAAATATGACTCAACACATGCTAGATTAACCCTAAAAGCCCAAAAACCCAATATGATTAGTATGGAAGAATCAGTTGATGACCTTCTAGTGATGGTTGACTGGGGACGCGTCCTTTTCACAGTAATATGGAAAGGTATTGGATTTTGGTGAGATAATGGATGAATAGTTGAAAATCAGATATTCATGATAAATAGATATTGTGAATGTCCTTTAAATAATTCAAATGGTGAGGTAAAAGGATGGATATTTAAAGGATATGATAATTAGAATTCATTTAAATTAGATTTGGCCAGATTTAAATGAATGTATGGATATTGTAGGATAAGTGGGCTTTTCAAACTAATTCCTAAAAATATTCTAATTTGTCTTATTTAATCAATTAATAGCACCTAAAACTCTAATAAATACTTAAAAATTTGTTTTGGGTTTTTATTTAATTATAGCGAGCCCATTATAACTTAATTAAGCAAAACAGCAAGTAAATTAACATAAAAGGGACCTAAAGACACTATTTTCAATTTGGGCTCACTTATAACTGATCTAAGCTCATCTCCTAAAGTTCTTGCAAACCTTTTTATGTTTCTTGGCTGATTTGAAAACCTTCTCTACTTATCTCTTCAAACTATACTGTGTTGGTCGTAACTCCAACTTCTGGAATGCATAGATAAATGATAGCTTTTGGTTGTGTATTTTGAGCTTTATACAGCTTCTCATTGGTTTGAAGATCTAAAATAACTCCTTGTCAGGCCTCATTTGTGGCATGCTTCTTTGCTCTTATCATTTGACTTCTAATTCTTTTTAATGGATCATACAACACTGGTTTTGATTTTGATCTCTTATTATGAGAGGCTCCTTGATATCCATCACAAACATTTGAAAAGGAGCAATTTAACCACTTCCGTTAACCCCATAAATCCATATATATACACACCTATAATTGAGATAGGCTATTTGTAAAAATATGAAATTTTAAAATATTAAAATTAAAAAGATTCAAGATCAACCATAAAACTTTGACTAGGGCCTATTGGAGCCATAAAAGTCAAAAGGAGTTCGCAAACAAACAACCAACTCCAGCTCGGTATTGTTATGGAAAAGAAATTTATTTTGAGTCTTTTTATTATGACTCGTTAATAAATAGTTATAAACAATATTACCTATTTTTAAAATTTGATGTAATGCACGAAAAACGTATAATATAATGCAGCATTGAGAAGATCAATTAATAATTCAGGAAGATGAAAATAGAAAGCCGAGGCCCATTTAAGCCATGTTTAGATGGAGGAAAAAATGAGAAGAAAATAAAGAGGGATCAACGGGGTTGAGTCTATTAAAAAAAACGAGTTCTTTGTAATATAAAAAATCAAAATTTAAACCTCTACTAGAATAGGTGTCTATATTTACTGTCTGACAGTACCTCAAATATGATTGTTTCTAATAGAAAGATATTTATACCTAACAAGAAAAAAAGGAGGAGGAAACGTTTTCCTACTATTTTTGATAGTTTTTCCACGTAATATTATTTTCTTCCTGATTTTCCTCCATTCAAACAGAGTAAGTTCGCTGTGCAAGTAATAATGTGTGAAACTACGTTTGCATTGTTGCAGGCATCTTGATATGCTTCATGCAATATTTTACTTCTTGTATTTAATTACTATCTCTGATACTTAATTAATATAAAATTTAGTTAATTAATTTGAAAAGATAAAAAAAATAGTTAAGTTAGTTATTTATAATAAATAGTTGTTGTCTTTCTTAAACTACCCTTACTAATAACATATATTAGTTAAAACTATTATTTAATAGAACATTTAACATGTATAATTACTACAAAGACTATTTTTAAAAAAAAACAGATAAATATGAAAAACCAAGTAAGCTAAAATTTTAGACCAAATTAAAAATCAAATTAGTTCTTATATTAAATACTGGAGGTAGTATTTATTTTCTGTTCAGAATGAAGCAAATTCTGAATATTTTATTTCTCGTATTTAATTATTTATTAAGAGTTTTCTTTGCACATTTCTCTTTACACATATAATTAAGTTTTATTATAAATAATTTAGACTTCATTTTTTAATAAAGTTTAATTTTTATCTTAAACTGGAAAAGATTTTAAATAAAATTAATACTCTAATTACCAACTAAAATTAACGATTTAAATTAAAAATATAACAAAACAAATTATTTACGTCAAATTATAAACCATTAAAGTTAGATATACATATTTTGCACAACCTTAAAAATGTAATCCAAATCATAACTCTAAGACCTGTTTAGCACGCTGAAAGCATTTTAAATGGAATAAGAATAGGAAAGGGAATAAAAATTGATTTAAAAAAATGGATAGACTTTAAAATTATGTTTAACATGCCAAAAAAATTAATGCAATCTTCATGGTTTTCATGGGTATTTTAAACCCTCACTGGGAAGATAAATTCCGTGATCGAGGGATTTTACCTTTCAGGCTTTTCCTTTCATTTTTTTTCTTGGTTTTCATGACAAAATCCTTCATAACAAACAAGCGCAAACTTACCTTTGCACACTTTTTGTAGCAGTTAGTCCTATAGAAAAACATGGGCTTATCTCATAATTGTTTTCAATCTCGTCATAAAATTCCTAGCCCAAATTTAATTTAGGGGGAATTATAATTAAATCCCACAAAAAAAAAATAATTACCAAAAAATTCCAATAACAACTTCAATAACCTATAATGACAAATCCTATAGTAAGAATGATAACCTCTGAAATTTGTTTTTCAATTGTTTTCCTTCCTTATAACCTTATTGTACTCCTCTTAAGTTAGGACTCGTTTATCAAAGCCTTTTTCATTAAAATACTTTTTTTCCCCAAAAAATTCACTTTTATAATATTTTACATTGGCTAAACTTTTGAAAATCATTGAAATTTAGGGCGGGAAAAGGATTTCTTGATTATTTTAAGTCGAAGATGAGAATGTCAAGATGAATCCAATCAAACTAGAAAAAACAAGCTTTTTTTTTTTTTGCCAAAAGAAAAGACAAGATTAGTAATAAAAAAATTGAGGTGATTTAGACATGTACAAAGAACATTTGATATAAGAGCAAGCAAAGTAAATCAAGCAATATAAAGTCCTATGAAAAGATACAGAGGAAGACTAAAGAGAATAATTAATAAAATTATTTAATGAAACCATTTGACTAACAATTAGTCCAAAAATTTGTTGTTGATAGAATACAATGACACCTTGTGATTTATGTAGCTAAGTTGACCTACTGAGATAAGACTTCTTGTTGTTTTAAAACGCTACTCAAGATGGTGATGGTTAAGAAAGAATGTCAAAAAACCTTGAGGGTTTGCATATCCACTATCTTAACATTTTAACTGTATCTCTCTACTGGCACAAAGCTCAAGGTTTCATTTGCATACAGGAATTTGTTTAGCCAAATTTGATTCAAGTCAATCGTATAAATATTTTTATCAACGGGTGATATGCCAGATACTAATTAACTAACTTCACTGCAAATGCAATCTCTAATGTATAATTTTGGAGTCCTAAAAGGACTGGTTCCAATAAACTTGATGCAGCTGTATAAAGCAAGAGCACCGAGGTGTAACATTATTACCAAAGAATGTTTTAGAACAACCAAAAAAAAAAAAAATCTTTACATCTAATCTAATTAGCGGCACTCACAGTCTCAGATGCCGCCGTGTGCCGAGAACCTTAGCAAGCTCGTGCTCCCACTCAACATAAAAATATCACAACAGTTACAAGAATGGTCCTTAATTACCAAAATTGTGTTACCTTCACTGTATTTTTCCCAGGAAGCATTACTATAAAGAGGCGCACATGAACAGAGAGAGAGAGAGAGGGTGAATGAGAGTTACCCAAATTAAAGTTTAGAAGGGGCACTTGAATTGACACTTTGAACCATAATGAGACTGGAATCGAGAGTAGCTTGAATGAATCTTGCTATTTTCTTAAAACATATACAACAATAGAGGCTTGAAGATCACGATCCACCTTGAAGTGAGCATTAAAAAATCTGCTTTCCTGTTTCGATCCCAATATTTGAAATCATGAAATATATAAGTTAAAAACTTATTATAATCTCTCACCAAAAAATATATATAATCATTGCCTTATGCCCTTATCTAATAATTACCTCTCTGTAGCCAAGTGATAGTAAATAATTTCTCAGTTTTTGTTCTTCTGAATCATATAAAACAATGTGACTAGGCGGAGACCAATTTTTTGCATATTCGGACACAAAAGCAAGAGGGTCCATCAAGAAACGGTCCGATTCATCCAGAACTCCTTCCTCTTCACTGCTCCAACACAGTAACATTCCATAAACGTAATTATGAAAAAATTTCGATAGTCAATAAGAAAACCATGAAGCTGTAGATTCCAAACCTTGGTGAACAGTCCAGAAATTGCATAGGCAGGTTAGAATGCAGCACAGAATAGTAGGGTGTAGCATGACATTGCGTTAGGAACAGTATGCTCTTAACTTTCCCATCATGAGCTTCTCTGGCGAGGTGCTTCATAACATCCTCAGGTCCTCTCTGTCGAGATGAGGGAGGTCAAAATTTTCAAATGAGTTTTGTTCAACTATCTCAGTTATCATGTGTATATCAAATTAAAGAAAAAAAGAAATAAGTAATCTTCGGAAATCCAATATGAAATGAATAAATCACAAAAAAACCATATACGCACAGGAAGGACGAGCTTTTATGAAGGAGCTGGGGAGAATAGATAGGTGTATTAAATCTTAGCTCTGATCAATTTATGGGAAATCATACCTGATGAACCAAACTCATGTACAAGGCCATTGGAATATTGGTTGCAAGCAAGAATAAGATGGCAACTCCCTTCTTTACAGGGAACCTATCATACTTCTTCAAGGATCCTTTTACTTTACTTTTACCAGAACCAGGATCATCCATAAGGGCTAAAGAATAACCAGAGAACATAAGAGCTATAGGAAGAACTGGCAAGACAAACCTGCACGTTATAATGATTCTATTGATGAATCTAGTGAAAATAATGGGCCAACTACATGCTAACAGGCAAAATGCAAATATAATCTGATTGAATACCTGAATTCCTTGTGACCTAACACACTGTAAAATGACAAAACCCAAGCAACAAGGCCAGCAAACTTCCATTCTTTAGAATAAATTATGCCAGCTAATGACAACGGCAAGTGAGTGAAGATCATGACTGTAAATCCTTGACTGAAGTACCAGTGCCACTTGTGGGTTCCATAGTAGTCTCCACCCGAGGAAAGAAAATTGAATTTTAGAAAATTAAGAGGCACTAAAATCCACTTGCCATACATGAAACCATCTAGTAAGCATGTTAATCCAACTAGCAGGACACTGAAAAGAACAAAATTTAATCATTATTGAAAAATGGATGTATGTGCCCCTTTTTTTACATTTAATCAAATTTAAGACTTTGCAGAATTTTCCTATAATTTGTAGTCTACCCAAAACACAAGGCAACATTTTAGAGAAACACTTGGCATATGCACATTAGCATTTCTTGAAAGAATTTTCCAAAAATATTAGCGAGTACTTCAGCTTTAATATTAATGCCAAGCATTACATTAGAGGTTGGAAAGTTAACTGCTTCCTGAGTCTTAAACAGCAAAAGGATTCAAGTGCACTGATAACAAGGAGCAAAATGATTCTAGAAGCAATACTGGAAAATACAAAGGCCCCCAAAGATGATATGCATAAAAGAGAAAGCAAAGTATTAAAGATTTATCTGCATGAAAGAATTAAATAATCCTATTTGTTTCAAATACCAACGTTGGCAGCCATCTTAAAATATCTGTAATTTGCTCAAAAAAGCATAAGTTAAACTGAAAATACAAAGAGCCCGCTTGTGGTTGAGAAGGAAGGATGCCAAGAAGCAAGCAGCTGGAGTGCAAGAAACAAAAGTTACTTTACAAAACAAACTTCTCATATGAAAAGGAATGCTCGCAGGCTTTACACAAACATACATGTCAATAGAAAAGTTTAGAAGCAAATCAACAGAAGCTGTAGTTACACGTCTCTATATCTTAATAAATTAAGTGGAAGCAGCATAGATGCATGTTAAAATTTGTAAACTTGCATGGAAAGAAGTGGTTAGTTAAAGTTCATATGGAAGGATTGATCAAATGGAATTTAGACTGAGTACTAAAGATGGCACTTAAATTGGACCCAAACAGAGTGATTTGTCTGTAGGAAAGAGTTCATCAACCCATACAAGTATATAAACTATTTTTAAACAACCAGAAGCAGGTATGCAATTAAAAAGTAGTGAAAATCGGTTTGCCCTCATTTTTCTGCTCTAATTCTACTATCTGTCATAAAACGTATGTGAACTATTCAACAAACGTGTCAAATGATGATTTGGTTAAATACGTGTTTTGTTCATAAATCCAACATTGTTTGAATGAAAGCTCCACTTTCATTATTTGATCAGGAACGCCAAACACTGGTTTAAGAAGATCGTACCTACACCTAACAGTGACAAAATGGTTTTCATGTATTGAGATTTGTCGCATGCATTATGTGATTTTACCCATACATTATTGTCAAGCCAATACTCAGTGGAAATAAAAGCAAATGAATTTCAGCCATATGACAAGAGAAAAGGCTTTCCATATAGTGGGGAACATATGGAGGACAATCAATCCCTCTTAAAGCATATACCATACTAGAGTGAGTAAATGATGCCAAAACACACCCAATAGGAGCCATCTCTAGAAAGAGGAATCTCAATCTGTCACGTGCTGTTAAAAGCTCAAGCAGGCCAACATATGCCCATGTGATTGCACTTGTTGGCCGAACAGCACAAGCTAAAGCCGCCATAAGTAAACCCCACTTCCTTGATTTGAAGGAACATTTGCCAAAGGGTCTCATGCAAGGCCAAAAGTATAGAGAGACTACAGTAAGAACAGTCTCCAGGCTATTTGACAATGTCCGGGATAAACAGTAAAACATAAACCAGTTTGTCAACTGGGAAAAGAGCTGCGGCAGCGTTAAGATAACCATATATCAAGGTAGAAGATAAATAAGAAGCAGTAACTTCCAATATGAGTTATACTTCAAAATAATATTATCCATATAGTTAGGATACAGCCCATTTTGCAACACCATGACCAAAGACAACATTGGAAAGTTTGTACAGGTACAAATCACACACTGCAGAGAATATGGATTGTAGCAGCCGCGGAGCCTTCATCTATAAACATGAAGCAGCAGATAAGTTTATAAGAATCATATGAATGGAAAATAACAAGCAAAAGGATTGTAACTGTGAAAGAATTGCAATAGTTGGGACTAAACAAAAATGCATGCTTGTATTACTTTGGGGAGCAAAAAGTCTAAACGCAGAATAAAACATATAGCTCATTTATCCAGGTCAGAAACTTAGAACTAAACACTGACAGTCAAACGCAAAATGTGTGTTTTCCTCCTTTTTAAGTAACCTATTAACCGAATTTCAGCATGAGTCTAAAAGAAGATTAACTACACATGCACCAAGCTTCCAAAGTATAATTGAACCATGACTACAACATGTTGAAACACACCATTTCTTATGTGAACTTCTAGATAACTACGTTTACCATGAACCACGGCGTATCAAGACGGAGTAAGGCCAGAATTCTGTAGAGAGCAGCAAAAACCATCGGATGCAAGTAGCTACGGATTCCTTCCTTCCACTCCCATGTCAAATGACCATACCTGCCATTTGCATCAATCAGTCCACACTCCAATCCACATTATAACATTGTTAAACACAAAGACTGCTCGAACAAGGAGAAAATTTTGCAGAAAATTAACAGACTTTAGTGGAATCTGAGCTACCCAAATGCAATGCGGTGCGCTACTTCAGGCCCCTGCCAGTGTTCATCCGGATTGAAATATGACTGCACTAACAGAGCATTTATCATCCGGAATACCAAGCACAAACCGAAGATTCTCTTCTCTGATGAAAACAGAAAGCTGCCGAGGAATCTCGAATCTTCCGGTTTGGACAAATTTGAAGTCGCGGAGAGATGTACAGCTGCCGATGGACGAGCGACATTCTGTCTGTGTCTCATTACCGAAGAGTTCTGCTAAATATACTATGTATTCTCTCTCTCGTTTCCCGAAGACAGCAAAAACTAAACTTGTCTGTGATTGAACTCAGAAGACACAGTTCCAGTCAGTAGTCAATGATGAATAATCGAAAGGGGGGTCTTGTTTCTTTGTCAGCAATCAAAAGTTCAATTTGAGCCAGGTCCTTGGGCGCGAGACTGAATTAGGGAAGGGGAACGAGATTGGGATTGGAATTGAGAGTAAATTCTCAAGAAAAGTAAGTGCCAGATCAAACAAAAATAGTCAAAAGACCAAATTGCCCTCATCTTCTTATATTCCCAAGCTGCAACGGGCTACGGGGAAAATCGTTCGAAAATCGAAGCAGATCTGGGCTAAGGAGGATGCATATGCGATGGGTATTCGACGCCGGCTGGCAGAAGCAAGTTCTGTTGTTGCCCTCAGCAGCCTACTACTTGCTTCGTGCCAGGTTCAATTAAATTGCACTTGTAGGTCAGTTGTTGAAGATAAAGTTATGCTACTTGTTCATAAAAATTGATAGGAAAAGGTCAGACATGTACATGGAGGAAAAAAAAATAGTGACCATTACTGACAAATTAGCTAAGTTTGCTCATAGATTAGAAGGGAATTTTTGTATCTTCAATCATTTTCTACCTTTCGTACAACAGGTGGAATTTGGTGAAGGGTCCTAAGTTATTTTGATCTCCTTGTTGCCTCTCTCTTTAAGGGTTAATAAAGATAGATACATCAATCAAGCCATAATAAACTTTATTATTGTCATAAGCTATTTATATCGTTTTATTTTACGATAAACTTGACTTTTGAAGTCAAATTTTGATTTTTTGTCATAGTTTTCGGCGTGGGGTTTTTTTTTTTTTTTTTTAGATGACATTGTTATTATCCGTGGATCATTCCTAATAAATTAGCTCTGCAGGATTATTTTTCGTAATACATCAATCCGTCATTAAGTCATTACTTTCAAAGAGCTAGTTCCTGTTCATTAATGTTCTTTTAATTTAAATAGCTAGATTCTTGCTTGAGGTATCCATATATAACTTGTTCTTTTTCATTTGCCAAAATATATTTAATTTATTAGGTACACATATACATAATTAATCATAAAACCTGTGTGGGTGTGAACAGATCAAATATCAAATGTCACTATTTTTGGTGTAACCAATTCAATCAATCCCATCTTCTATAAACTACTAAACTGATCTGTCATATTTTAAAATCCCAAGCAGATGTTGAAGTAAAGCAAGTGTACAAACTTCTCCTTCTTCCTTCCACTTGAATGAAGAGTGGGCATGATCAATATTAGTTAATTACAAAAAAGTGTATATATGATGAATAAAGTACATATACTGAGAAGGATACAGAGAAAATAGTGATACAGAGAAGATAATTAATTTGTGTAAAACTGGAGTTCATATCTGGAGAAAGAAGAGGAGAGAGTGAGGAAATGATTAATGGTGGCGGCCCAGGTTTTGTAGCGATGAACATCATCCGCCATGTCAAGCTTGAACGTTCCCCTGTTTGTCGTCAAAACTATCAGGTAACAAGTCTCAGCTTCTTCACCTTCTCCATCTTTATACAGCTCTGCATGCATATTCATCACAATACCTGAAAATCCATATTTACCAGTAATCATTTATTAATTACTGAAAATATCTCAATATTAAAATCACTCACAAAAGAATAAGAGAGATGATGAAAAGAAAAGGCCCCTACTTTCCTTCTTGCTTTTTAGCAGATTATGTTTCTTCATTATAAGAACCACCTGCACATCAATCATGCACACCACCAGTTAAACCAACGTGTGGCTTACGTCAACTGTTACATTATTACTTTAACCATCTTTTTGTAGTAATTATTAGCAATTGGTTGAGATGATTGAACCATAGTGTAATTAGTTCTGACCTTGGCATCACTGTTCAAGACGACAGATACTGATCTAAGCATGCACTCCCCTGTTTTCACATAAATTTGAATGAAGAAGTAAGAATATTTCATAAAATCGAGGCCTTTAATGCTTAGTTTTTTGTTGTGTTTGATGTGTACCTTCAGGTGTTTCCACGTGTAACTCAGCTCCCTCTGCAAGAATGGATCTGCCTTTTGCAAAGTCCAAGTCCAAGTCATTGTTGTCTTCAATGGGCAAAACAGGTACGCCCCCATTTAGCCTGTTCTTGCATCCTGATCTTGCTTTCAGTGTGGCCGCTCCTTTCAGTGCTGCACCAAAGGGAATAGAGCACAGTTTACTTGGTTCATACAAGCCAAACAGTATCGGATACATGAAAATTTGGGTAAGTTGCTTCATTCGTTTCCTTCAATCATGTCTTAAAACAAGAGCTGTAATTTATCTAACTAATTTCTTGATACTTGTCAAAGTAGAAGGAAACTGATAAAAATTGTTACCACTGTATCAGGTACAGCCTTTATCACTAAGCGGTATAGTTAAACTGCTTGATAGCTAAGAAACAGCTCTTTCTATTTGACTGGATCAAACATCATACTTTGATCTATTTAGCAATGCCAAGTTTGTTAAAAGCCAAATTTCTGGTTTAGAAAACCACAAGGATTCAGATAAGTTACAATAACTCTGAGACAAGGCTGCAAGGGACGAGGAACAAGGTAGTTCAACCTTCTCAATTAAGAGTCCTAGTACAAATACCGGAGAAAATTAGAAAAGCATATGAAAAGAAGCATCAAGATAAGAAAATTACATGTGGCAGCTGAGGCCGTGAGGGTCAAGATGTCACTTGCACTAGTACCAGTCATGGCTGAACTAATTGCACTGTTAAGTTGGTCCTTCTTTGCCCCCATTGCTTCTGCAACTTTTGCACACTGAGCTGCGACCAAGGCGGCTGCAGAACTACTGCTGCTTCCTTGTCAGCGTTAGATGATCGGCCTCCTTGGAGTTTTCTGCAGCTATGACTGCTAAAGCAGCTGCCACCCCAGCCACTGATATTGCTGCATGCACTTCTGCTGTTTGTACTTCTCTGTTCCTTTTCCTCCTCATCTTTATTTCTTTAAACCATTTCTTGATTGACACATTTTTCAGGGGTATATCTGTTTCCACGGCATCTATGTGCAGAGAACAAAACAAAATCTATCAATGCCTCTTGAAAATACAATATTATCATCCACTGCAGCTGTATCATCATACATGTCAGCCCTACAAGATATAAACCATTGCACATAATGTTCTAAGATAAGGAAATAACGAGTCTCATACTCACTTAATCCTTTCTTCAACTCTTATCATAATACTTATACAAAAAATCCATAAAGTGGATAATAAAACTTGATATTACTGATAAGCATGGCATTCGTGTGTTATATCAGTGCTTCATAGTAGACAGAACCATGATCGTAAAGTTCAAGTCTAAACAACTGAGGTTAGTTAATAATGTGGCAGATGACATACCCATTTCTTTCTGAAGTAGCTGTTGTAATTCAACTCAGGATGCATTGCTTGCTGCATCGTATCCATGACTGAAAATTCAGAAAAGAA